ATTGGTCTGTTCCTGGGTTAGAGGTGGTGCAGGAAATTCTCAGCCTCGCACGCACGCATGTCGTCGCGCGGCCGTATTGCATAAGACTTTGCATAAGACGTACATAAGACACGCTTCCTCCCAGTGATGGGCTTGCCCACCCGCCGGAGTGGGCCGACTACACGGTAAGGCATAACCTTGCAGAAAACCTTTTCCTTCTAAGCAGGGCTACACAATGACCCTATAGTGTGTGGGTGTTCCTGGCGAGTTGTGATGAGTAGAATTAGACTAGCCAATACTATTTTGAAGTTCATATATGAAAATACCAACTTGCCTATGTGCACGTCTCCGCCGCGGCGGCCCGGAGGCGGCCCGGCGGAGCGGTCAGAGCAGCACTGCGCGGGCCGGCGATCGACTCTCGACTATAGTACGGGCTCTATTGAATGGCCTCAAGGTGCTCTCTAGGGCTGCCCTATTCCGCTCGCCCGGCTACGTCGCCGGGCTTCGAAGGAAAAGGTTTCGCTCGGCACGGCGTCGGAGAGCAAACTTCGACGTTCGTCCTATAGTGGAAGCTGGACGCACGTAGGCAAGTGGCCCATGACCAGGCGGGCTGCTGCTCAGAATCTGGGCCGTCGGCGCTCGCTCTCGCGCTCTTCATAACGGCGTTGCCCCCTCCCTCCCGCGCCGACGTTGGGCAGCCTGACCACGACAACGTCAGCGCCGCTGGCCTGCAACTCGAGGCGCCTTTGAATGAGCACGAGCCGGTGCGCGGCGGCGGCGCGGGTGATGCAGCCCAAGGTGACGGCGACGGCAGAGGGGGCGGCGCCGGCGGCGGAGGAGGCGGCAGCGGCGGCGATGGCCGCGGGGCCGGCCCGCCCGCCTTTGCTGCTGGTGCTGTGGGCATCATCACAGCTCAGCGGCGGTGTGCGACCAGGGCCAGTGGTAGACTTTCGACGCGGTGAGGCTGCTCTCTGAGCAATGACACTAGCAAGAGCATCATGTGTGTCATCGGAGTCACTTGTATTACGATACCACCACGCCGCCACGCTCGCAAGGGCCGCCTAAGCGCCTAAGCACCCTAAGCACCCCCCCGCTTAGGCCGCTTAGGCGCTTAGGCGAGTGACGGCCGGCTGCCCGGGGCCTGGCGTGCCTCCGCCGTGGGCTGAGCGCCCGGGAGAGCCACTCTGCAAGTGGTGTGCGAGCGTGTAGCCTTTAGCGTGCAGTCGGCCAGTGCGAGTGTGGTTCGACCCCCGCACCGGCCACCGCCGCGACCGCCCACGCAAATGCCAAATGCAAATCTGAGACGGGTGATGGGATGCTGGCTCTGTGGTCTCAGGCCCAGTGAGGTAGTGCACGCGACTATCCCGGATCCTGCTGAACAAGTTCCTCTTGTAGCTCGATCGGTCACATCGCCATCACCGTCGAGGAGAGGGGGGACGACACTGGCACACACTGCCTCAGCAGCGTGCACCTCGATCCTGTACCGTGTTTGTTATGACCCCCCCCCCCCATGAACACTCCAGTGAGGGAGGGCGAGACGATCGAGGGGTCCCGTACCACGCGGAATCGACCCTATCCAGTGCTCAAGTGCTCAAAAGACACGCTATGGACTAAGATATGCATTCGCGCGACGTCTAACCCTGCCAATGCTAGGGGGGGATATGGTCCACCAAAACATTGATTTTCCAAGCCCCAAACCCAAACTGAATCTCGAGGAGGTTGAGAGGCGTTTTCGTTCGGCGTCTCTGCCGACGGGTGAGAACCGGTAGATCGCTCCTCGAGGCATGGAAGCGATGGATGTTTGCACTGCTCGGGGGCCTCAGGGCCCGGACTGCTTGGCCCTGGCGATCGAGCTGCAGCTGGACGCGCAGGGCGCCGCCGCCGCGGAGGCGGCCGTCGGGTCGCCGGAGGCCGGGGCGGGGGCGCTTCACGGCCAGGGCTGTGAGACACGCCTCAAGCCACCAAGTGCTGCCAAGCACCTTGCACAGGTCGGGCGGGTGCACGGTGGCTTCCCCGGGGCCGCCCTGGCCCTCAAGGCGACTGTTGGCGATGCTCTTTCTGGCCGACCCGGTGCGCGCGGCCACGGCGGGTGCAGTCACACGCAGTGGACCTCGGCGCGCTGACGCTCGCTCGCACGCCTGCGCAGGAGAGAAACTCCTGTCCCCCATCACCTCCGAGGGCAAAACGTTCTTCGTTCGGGACCACGCCGACGCCACGGATACGGAGGTGCTGATTTTCGCCCTCTTCATCGTCCTTCTCGAGCCCAGCGCCGCGGACACCGCCGAATGGGCGGCGGGTTTGGCGCCTCTCGCGGCGCAGGCTGCGGATGAGCAGGCGGGCTGGGCGACGGCGGCGGCGCCCGCCGGCTACTACGACCCGTTTCAGCGGGTCATAGACGGCAAGTGGCACAAGGAGACGTGCGAGGCCGTGAAGAAGGCGGTGGATGGCTGGGAGGGCCGCGGCGCGCGCGAGGGCGTGACAGTCGACCACTTGCTCTTGTACCACTCCGGACTTAAGAAACACCCGGACAATGGCGGGCTTTGGCGGCAGCCGCCGCGCAAGAGGCCGCCGAAGCGCTTCAACACGTGGGCGGCCACGCGCGTCGCCGACCTAATCTACAGCGCGGG